CCGCCGGTTACCGATGCAGACGCTCCTTGGATTTTCACCAGAGCCCTGGTTAGCCGGCGTGTGTGCTAGACCTGTCCGCCTTGGGTGGCCCTACCAGGAACGAAGTTCCGGGCGGCATAGCTCTGACACTACCGTTTACCCCCTCCCCACCGACTGTGAGGTAAGGGTTGGACTTTGGGGGCTTACAGTACCAGATGTTCCCAAGCGGTCCCCCATCTAAGTACTGACCTGGCTCTACGATGCTTAACTTCGGTGATCGAACGAGAACCGGTGTTTCAGCGTGATTTAACCGTAAGCAATATGCTAATACCCTTGGAAAAGGTATGAATCCTCTTCTTCTCCCCTCAGCCATGGGTAAATAGCAGGTTTTTCTAGCCTTGATTGGAAACCGGTTTAGGAGAAAATAATTCTGAATTCAAAACTTTCAACATGTATTCGTTCTGGCGTTCACACACGTCAACCCCTAGCTCCTCTTCTTCAATAATCAATATATTATATATCCTCTTATATATATATATATATATATATATATATATATATATATATGAAAACAGACTAAACCTGTATCACAGCTCTTCAGTATGGATAGACATCCGATTGCTTCAAGCTGGGATCAAAACCCGAGCGATTTGGCATCAGTCAGAGATCCTAGGCTATCGTTGCGCGGCAGAGCGAAAGGGAAATGTTAACGTTTTCTATACGAAATTCGCCAGTGGCCAGGAGAGATCAATTCATAGTTGAAGAGCAATGCGTTAAAGCAGTTGGAGCCACTGTTTCTTTTTCTAAAATTAATTCTCCAGGGAGCTCAATCTGATTTCCCTTGGGCATATATATAGTCATCCACAAACAGACTGTTTCGCTCTTCAGTGTAGCTAAACATCCGATTACTTCAAGCCGGGATCGAAACCCGGCCAATTTGGCATCGATCAGAGATCCTACCCGCAGGTTATCGTCGCACGGCAGAGAGAAAGGGAAATTTTCAACGTTTTCTATACGAAATACACCAGTAGCCTGGAGAGCTCAATTCATATTTGAAGAGCAATGAGTTAATAGCATTAAAGCCCCTTTTTTACACAAACACACACACACACACACACATTTGGAGACACATACATATATATATATATATATATATATATATATAAAATAAAAAGCAATTGGCTCGTTTGTTCGAATAGTGGGGACATGATATTCCCCACTCTGCAACCACTTTCCGCACACTTAACATTGTAAGCATGTCGCTACTCTATCGCTATTTCCACGGCAAATGAACAAATGACCGCTATTCTTCCATCAGTTCAGACATTTACAGCTGGAACATGTCATGCCATTTCCATGAAGCAGAATCACCCTCATTTTCTCCGTGTCTCAAAGGTAAGAAGAAAGTTTAGCTCAGATATTTTCCCACGTCCAGACTGTCACAATTTGGAACAGACTCCTGCGGTGATGCTTTCTTGAAAACATGTGTCTGTCATAATTCATCATTTTCTTCCTTTTCTTTCATATTGCACACCGATTTCATCATTATTATTTTGACTGTAACCTTCAAGTTTGAGTGGCACTCGAGGCTTGTAGTGTGTGAAGTTTAGTACAAAAATTCTTTTAAAGCATAACTGCATTCAGATTATTGAAAGATTTCCAAATTTAACCGGTGTATCTCCTCAATTCTAAGAGCTACAACGAAGAGAAACTGTCCTGGGTATGACGATAAACTCCATCCGGCAGCAAGGCCACTAATCAGGAGGTTTTGAGGAGCGTGGAACTACCTCTTGCTGTTGTTCCCAGGTTCACCCTGACCCGGAGTGGAAGCACTTGTTAGTGCTCCAGCTATGGGCATATAGTGAACCCCCAAAATGGGGTCAAAACATTATGAAAGTATAAAAATATATTTTTATAGTAATAATACCAGCAATACATTTTTGGAAAAGAAAAATATTCCAGCAATACATTTTTGAAAAAAAAAAAATATTACTAGCAATAGACAAAAAAAAAAAAAAAAACCTCTTTATAAAAATACGTCAATAAAACCTGATCTACAAACAGATTTCTTACAAAGAATACATATTCTATTCATACGAACCTATCCTAAAAATCTTGTGAGCATTAAATAACCCATTGATGTGTTGATATGCCGTAAAACAAAATAGATTAAACCAAACGGATAGGAAGTTGTTGAGAGCCGTGTTTGTCCTGATGGGACACGGTATATAATAGAAGACCTCGTAAATTAAAACAAATTTGGGGGAATCGATGTAGAGTTAAAGAAAAAATCGTCTAGAAAAATGAAACTATATCCGTCTCTTTTTTTTTTTCTCTACACTTAGTTTGAAAACTCGTTTTCTCCTTTGACTAATATTGATTTGTTGAAGCGAGTTTCGTAGAAATATTTGTCTGGAAACTGAATGTAAATTCCCTTCCTTGAACGAAAACAAAAATATTCTGTGGCAGACGCCATTGATTTGCTTGGCGAAGTAAAAGACGTTTGATTTAAAATAAGAAAGCATGAAGCAGCAAAGCATTTATTGCAGAGTTTAGTAATAACGTTATCTATGCTGATGGCGTAACAATTTCCACCTGTCGTAATGGTAAACCTGATAGGTTCGATAATGTCAAATTGGCTACTGATCTCAAAAATAACCTAAAATCTGTTGTTAACTGGGGCAAGAAATGGCTTGTTAATTTTAACACCACCAAAACAAAACCGTTCTCTTTTAATTATTTTAGAGGACCTTTTACTTTTACCTTCCATCATATTGGCTGATGTTAAACTCCAGAAGAGTGACTCTTTGCACCTTCTCGAGATAAAGTTTTACGTTGACATGAAGTGAAAATGTTATATTGAATAAGTTACTAGGTCTGGTGTTCTGGAAAGTTGGTTTATTGTGTCGTATTAGACATTTTTTTCTCATCAGAATCTATCTTAAACATTTAAAAGTCTACCATTCATCTATGCATTGAATATTGCTGTCATTGCAGGTCTAGTGCTTCAGTTATGTCTTTCGAGATTCTTGATAAAATCCAAAGATCAAAGGTTCTTACTGAAGATGTTTAGGGAACCGATCATTTTTCGGGTTTCTTTAGCGATGGATCGTATGTACGAATTCCACTTGAGATCTGGGTCCTAATAGGAGCTCAAGGCACGAGATATTTCTAACGAAGAAGGAAGGCCTGGAGACTATAATACTCAGAGGTCTCAAGGAAATCAGTGGGTAAAGCAGCGATAAACCTATTTGACAATGTTTACTAAATGGACAAAGTGCAAGAACTAGAAATACAAAGTAGGTTCGTAAAGAAGTAAGTATTTGATAGAAAAAACAACAAAAAGCTGTGGAGGACCGTGATCGATCACGTCCCAAAGGGACACAGTATACTGAGAAGAGAGAGAGAGAGAGAGAAATAGAGTGGGAGAAAGTGTGTGTGTGTGTGTGTGTGTGTGAGAGAGAGAGAGAGAGAGAGAGTGAAAGAGAGAGAAGGAGAGAGAAAGAATATCACAAGAGAGAGAGGGGGGATGGAGGAAAAAATAGGACAAAGGTTTGAACTGAAAGCAAACAAAACGATGGAGGAACAAATAGGACAAAGAAGAAAAGGATCTGAAAGCAGAAAATAGCAGGGAAGAGAGTTGAGAATGATCAACAGACCAATTGAAGAAACAGATCGTATAGAAAGGGAGAGAGATTGAGAGAGAGAGAGAGAGAGAGAGGGCGAGAGATTGGGGGAGTGGGAAAGAGAGAGACAGAGAGAGTGAGAGAAAGTTAGAGAGAGAGAAGGGGAGAGAGAGAGAGGGGGGAGAGAGAACCTACTTGAAGTTTGAGCAAAGACATAAAGGAACAAATACCGGATTGTCGTAAAGGAGCAACTAGAATTGAGAAACAAAATAAAGACGGGACGCTGTGGAGAACAGTGATCGATCACGTCCTAAGGGACACAGTAAATTGGGAAGAAAGAGAGAATAAAACAATATCACATGTTTGGGCAAAATTGTGGAGGAATAAATAACACAAAAACAAAGTCATAAAGGAACTAAAACAAAAACAGGAAACAGTGGAGAGTCATGATCACTCACCATTTGAAGGAACAGTTCATATAGAAAGGGTGTGAGAGAGAACGAGAGGGAGAAAAAAAGAGAGAGTGAGAGATAGAGAGAGATTGTCAGAGAGAGTGAAAGTGAGGGTTAGAGACACAGAGAGAGAGAGAGAGAGAGAGAGAAAGTGAGAAAGAAAGAGAGAAAGAGCCAAGTATTGTTGCAAGCAAATAGAGAAAGGAAACTGTGGAGAACGTTGAATGCCAACGTCAACAGAGGATGCCATGATAAAGAGAGAGAGAGAGAGAGAGAAAGAGAAAGAGAAAGAGAGAGAAGGAGAGAGAGAGAGAAGGAGGAGAGTGAGAAGAAGCATACTTGATGATTTTGACCAAATAATTAAGGAAACAAATATCACGAAGACGAAGAGGAGTCATAAAGGAGCAAGAAGCACTGAGAGCAACAGAAGCGAGGAAGCTGTGAAGAGCCATAATCAAGTACGTCCGGAAGTGAGACGGTATATAGAAAGAGTATCTACTTGACAATTTTGCGCAAAGGGTTGAAGTATTATTACAAAGACAAAGAGGAGTCATAAAAATCATGTATTACAGAGAACAAAATAAGGCAGGAAGCTGTGGAGAACCATGTTCGAGTACGTCCTGTACTGAGACGGTACATAGAAAGAGAATCTACTTGAAAATTTTGCGCAAAGGGTTGAAGTATTATTACAAAGACAAAGAGGAGTCATAACAATCATGTATTATTGAGAGTAACATAAGGCAGGAAGCTGTGGAGAACCATGATCGAGTACGTCATGAAGTGAGATGGTACATAGAAAGAGAATCTACTTGATAATTTTGAGCAAAGGGTTGAAGTATTGTTACAAAATCAAAGAGCAGTCATAAAAATGATGTATTACTGAGAGCAACAAAAGTCAGGAAGCTGTGGAGAACCATGTTCGTGTACGTCCTGAAGGAAAATGCTACATAGAAAGAGAGAGAGAGAGAGAGAGAGAGAAAGAGAGAGTTAGAGAGAATCTACTTGACAATTTTGACCATAGGCTTGAAGAATTATCACAAAGAGAAAGAGGGGCAACAGAGAGAGGGAGAAAGAGAGAGAGAGAGATAGAGAGAAGCAGAGAGAGAGAGAGAGAGAGAGAGAGAGAGAGAGAGAGAGAGAGAGAAAGCGAGGGGGAGGAGAGATAGTTAATGACACTCCTTAAGATTGAGAAAGAAGCAAGGATGAATGAAGTGAAGACAAGACTACAAGTGCGAGTATCCGGACTCGTGTTCACGTGACGTCAGTTGACCTGGAATTTCATACAATCTCCTCCCCCCCTCCCCTTCCTCTCTCATCTTACAACTCCCAGAAGCAGCTGCATTCGGACATTAATACAGAAATCCCGGCTGCGTATGCATATGTATAAGTACATTAATGCTATATGCGAAAATACACGAGAAATGGTATATGGAGTGTGAAAAACCATCGGATGGTATCATTTATATCACATCTGGTAAACATTCGTGCAATTTTTCCTGTGTTGTAAGCAAAGTATATAAAACTGCAAAACATAACAGTTTTTTTTTCTCGTGTGGGTATTTTCTTCATAGTGTCCATCATACAAAGGATAGTTTTGGCACAAGGCCACAAGTACAGGGCGCCAAGTGAGGATCACACTCGCATCTCCGTAAAATTACTCAATTAGACCATCTCGATAAAAATAGGGGTCGACCCTAGTCGAGTCAATGCGAACGATCCTTTCCTTAGCGGCATAGTATGTACTTCGACAGGGCTACACACAGTTTCCTTCTCCTAGTCTGGTTGTCACCCAAAGTGCTAGAACCCAACATGTCCTGTTATTCACCCATCGCTGGGGGGGGGGGAAGAGTTGGATTCATGCCTTTCACAAGGTTATTTAGCACCTTAGTGGATATAATGAACTCAATTGGAATTTGAACTCAGCTTTCCAAATCCTCAATCCAAGTCGTTATCCATTACTCTGCTCTGCCTTTTTATAGGAGAGCAAGTCAATGTGAATGATTCTTGCCTTAGATTCATAGTATGTGCTTTGCAAAGGCGACATCCAGTTTCTTTCTTCTAGTCCAGTTGCCACCCAAAGTGCTAGAACCCAGTCTGTTCTATTATTCACCCATCACCCTTAGAAGATTTGGATTCATGCCTTTCCCAAGGTTAATAGCACCTACGTTAATGTAATCGACTCGACTGGAATTTGAACTCGGCTTTCCAAGTCCTCAATCCAAGCCGCTATCCATTACTCTGCCGGGCCTTTTTATAGGAGATCGTCAATGCGAACGATCCTTTCCTTAGTTGCATAGAATGTGCTTCGTCAGGGCTACATACAGATTTTGAAATCAGTGTTTTCCTTCTCCTAGACCGGTTGCCACCCAAGCTTGTAGGAAGAGTTGGATTCATACCTCTATTCACTACGTCAACTAAATTTAGATCAAGGTCAGAAATATGACACACCCAGTGAGGATCAAAGTATCTCTGTGTCAGTAATTGGTAATCAGAATCGTTAACCATTTCCACACCAATTTTTCTGTGCTTAGTTTGACACAAGGCCACAATATTAAGGCATCCGGTGAGGACCAAATTCACGATTCAATAGTAATGGCCAGACAGACTAGCTCGTTAACCATTACGCCAGCCTGCGACGCCCATCTTACTAAACTTAGATTACTTGGCGCAATGCCACAATTCTGGGGCACTCATGAGGACAGAATTGACGACTCAGTAGTAATCGTCAAGTAGACTAACTCGTTAACCATTACGCCAGCCTGTGACGTCCAACTTACAAGCTTAGTTTGGGACAATGCCAGAAGTATGGGTCATTCGGTAAGGACCGAATTCACGACTTATTATTAATGATCAAACAGATTAGCTTGTTAACCATTACTCACTAAATTTGCCACTAAATATTTAATAATCTAAGCTTAAATTAGAACATGTCTCCTCTTCATCTGTGAGGAAATTGTCCAGCATTCACTGACATATAAGACGATTGATAATATACAACAGTTCAGTTTCTTTCTTTCTAACGAAATTTTCTTGTTTCTTAATACTTTGCTTAGTTTTTGAAAAACACTTTTTTTTTTACCATTTCAATGCGTCTTCGGATTTCGGTGTCACAATTTTCATCATCTTTTAAAACAACGCAATTAAATATCTGTACTTGTTCGATTCTGACGTTGTTCCACTTTCTGACGATCATACATTATGGCCGCGTCACATCGAAAAACCGATTCCCGTGCGATCACCGAAGTTAAGCAATGTCCAGCCTGTCCAGTGCCTAAATAGGTGACCGCTGTGGAATACCACTACCTGTAATCTTGAAAGTGCGGGTGAAATAATGCGCTTGCGTCGATATCCCGTTGAAACACCGACGTTAAGGCACGTCGAGGATGGTCAGTACCTAAATGGGTGAACGCTTGGGAAAACCTCTACCTATAGAATTGGATGTGCGGGTGGAGTAATAGATAATGGATTGGAACTGTTAATTGGAGAGCCCAGTTTCAATACTCTTTAGGTTCGTTACGGTGGAATAATGGATAACAGCTCGGAGTGAGGAATCGGAGAGCCGAGTTCGAATTCCAGTCGAATCCATTACATTCACTTACATGCTAATACCCTTGGAAAAGGTATGAATCCTCTTCTACCCCCTAGCTATGGGTAAATAGCAGAACAGACCGTGTTCTATAGCCTTGGATGGCAACTGGTCTACCGCAGAAAGAAATGGCAACCTACTGCGGGAAAAAAATTCTGCCTCGTCAGCGATGAATCGAAAGATACATGATCGCCTAACTGGCTGGCTGATATTCACTTACGCGCAAATACCTTTGGAAAAGTTATGAATTCATCTGCCAGGTATGTGTTAATTATTAAGAGTGTATCACTAAAATTATTAAAAAAGGAAAAAAAATTACAATCTAAAAAAATGTTTTCTGGCTTTAAATAACCTGCAATAAACCGTAGAATACGAATCAAGAATAAGATTGATATTATACAACAGTTCAGCTCAGTTTTTTTTTTCTAGTTTCTAACGAAATTTTCCTGTTTTTTAATACTTTGCTTAGCTTTTGAAAAACAATTTTACTTTTCCAATGAATCTTCGGATTTCGGTGTCACATTTTGTGTCATCTGTTAAAACAGCCCAGATAGTTAAATTTCTGTAACTGCTTGATTCTGCCGTGGTCAAACTTAGCTAATACAGCCTGGTATTTTTAGGCCGGGGTTAAATATGTTACGGTGACCTGTATATCCAATTATTCCTTGATTTAGGGGGATTTCTTACACGGTTACGTTTTAATGTGTTTAATACGTACAAAAATATGCCTGAATTTATTTTTATTTTATTGTTCTTGTGAAAAAGTTAGTTTGGCTTGGTTTATTTTGTTTTACGGCATATCAACACCTCAATGGGTTGTTTAATGCCGACCAGATTTTTAAGATAGGTTCGTATGAATAGAATAAGTATTTGTAAGAAATCGGTTTGTATATCAGATTTCAGTGACGTATTTTTGTAAAGAGGGTTTTTGTCGAGAGTCAAATCTATTGCCGGTATTTTTACTATAAAAATCCATTTTATATACTTTCATAGTGTATTGACCCCAGTTCGGGGGTTAACTCTTTGCCCATAGCTGGGACTCTAACAGATGCTACCACCCCGGGTCAGGATGAACCAGAGAACAACAGCATTTAAGAGGTGATTCCACACTCTCAAAAGCTCATGATCAGAGGCCTTGCCCCCGGATGTAGCTTATCGTCACACCCAGGACGCTGAAAACGTTGCGTATTGCAGAGAAAGTTTGCAATCCGTAAAGCTAGAATATTTTATATATCTTCACACATTTATAACAATTAAAAAGCGGGTAGATGAAAAAAAAAATCATCTCCTTGGAGATTAACAATGACCGAATGATTAACACACGGACACAGATTAATATAAAAATTAGATTAATATAAAAATCGTATCTGGAGATACATTTTTTTAAAATAAACGTTCCATCATCACAGGACATTCATAATTACTTGAGTGTTCATCTATCGCGATAAACGAGTCTTCTCTTAGGGAGGACTCAAGCCTCGAGAGTCTGTTGAGGCTTAAGCCCAATCCAGATCTCCAGTGGAACTCGAACTTACGATCCATCTATGGGCGGGGAATTGCCCGGTCTTCCCTTCCCGGTATCGATGGAGGCCAAAAGCGACTCCGTTGCCTTGTGATTGGTTAATTATTTTCCAACCTACAAATCCTTTCCCAGAAACGAACGGTTAAAAGTCTCTCGCTACGCCGAGACGGCACAGTGCCTCGATGGGTGACTGCTTGGTAACACATGGTGCAAACAGTGTAATGCATAATTGTTGGGTTCGTTATATTCACTTATATGCCAAACTAGTAGCATGAACAGACGTTGCTCGGGCTTGCTTCAAAAATCGTACGACTCATACAGCAATCGCTATCACTTGACTTAAAATATTTTTACCCTTCCTTGCCTTTAAAGGAGTGCCCATTTGCCGTGCTGATGTTGCTACATGCCTTACTTCTTGCCTATCTCACACTGAGAATTTTTTCTAAGCTCTATACTAAACATTAAATCTGTTACGAAAAAAGAACTAAACAAAATGAACACAAAACGATCAGCTTTAAAAAAAGGACTCGTAACTGGAAAAACCGAATGAAAAAAGAATGTTAACAACAAATACTTTCTCACACCCAACCCAGTTGTGCAGAATTAGAATCAACGTTGAGTTTAAGCAAGCGAATGAGCCAATTGGAGTAAAGTGCCATGCAGATTTAAATTTTTCCCACTTGTGACGAATGCAGCTATCGATTTTTTGCATGCTAGCATGCTAGTTAACATTCTTGTCAGTCAGCTGTTGGCTCTCACGCTGGCCAATAGAATCTTCCTGCCTATTCGTGGCAGCCAGCTATAGGCTCTCACCCTGGCCAGTACAAAATGGCCACAAACTACATGAAAAATGCCGTAGAAGCATGAAAAAATCGATTATTTCCACTATCGATGGGAGTTGGGAAATGCAAGGTCGGTCTTGGCCTTCCCGCTAACTTGGAGCATGTGCATGTAAATTTTGGTGCTAATCCGTCGAAAATTGCGGCCGTGCATTCGTTATACACACACATCCTGCCTTTATATATATATATATATATATATATATATATATATATATATATATATATATG